GAGAAGACTGATACCACTATTATATCTGTACAATAAATATGTACTTACAACCAGCAGCCAGTGAGCTTAGCATAGCACAAACACGGGCGCAGTGACTTGCTGTTGAATTTGACAGTAATGGTGATATTATGTAGTTCACAGGGCGTACCAAAGCAACTGGTTCAGAATGAATACATGCATCAGTGAAGAGTGCCTATTTCTTGACCCAGGACTTTTCACATTACCTGTGTTTTGTTTCTGTGTGTCACTCAGGTGTGGTTTCCGTGGAGGCTACATGGAAGTGTTGAACATGGATACACAGGTGATGGCCCAGCTAGTCAAACTGCTGTCCGTTCGCCTCTGCCCCCCCGTCTCTGGACAGGCCGCAATGGACGTCATAGTGAATCCCCCCAGAGAGCATGAGCCCTCGTATGCTCAGTTTACCAAGGTGAGTGTGAGTGTGAGAGATGCTTCTGTTTGTTTTAAATCAATTAAAGGTCCAGCGTGTAGGGTGGACCGTCTTATTCAAAGGGAACAAAAACACAGTCCTCGTTTAGGGGAGGCACAGACATCAGTATCTTGTTTACTGTGGCATGGCGCTGTACAGAGGTTAGATTATGATCAGGGTGTAAAAAAGTTTAACATCCATCCAATTATCCTAATTGTAGACTTTGAAATGTGATTTTGACATTTTTGTCTTAAAAATGGACTGGATTAGTTAAGTTAAGTTTACTGTGTTGTATTGATAATTCTGTAAGAACTACAAAACAAAACCAATATGGAACCAATACCGATTTTCCTTCCCTCTTACTTCTTTGTCTAGACTAGGTTGTCATAATACCAGACTTTTAAACTTTGATACAGTACTAATATGAAAAAACAACACTTGATACCTCTTTCAATACCATGGCAACGAAAAGTCCTAGGCACACAAAGTAAGACCTCTAAAACAGTTGCTGAACCAGACCAGTTGATTTTCTTCCTCATTGTTTCATCTGTGCAGCATTGGGTTGAAAATCTGATAGTAAATCTGTTTTTTTACAGCTTTGGTACTTTTGATACTATTGAATGATAGTATTGTATCGTTTTAAACACATGGTATTCAAAAAGTGTCAGAGTATCGATACTTTTGACAACCATAGTACAACATAGGTCTTAAACTGCATTCATAATGGGCTTAAAATGTAACTTGTAGAAAGCTGCAGAAACCATGTATGATGTTTGCTTGTGGCCAAATGTGTAAAATAAGCCCCTGATAGTGTTGTGGATGTGCAGGTGATGAGAGCAAAGCAGCATCATTTTATTTATTTACTATTATTATCATAACTGTTATTATTAGCAGCTGCTTTCAATACCATTTTTAGCTTGTACTCGTGATGTTCTTCTTCTGCCTGATGTGTGGTGAAGTGACCCATTGGAGGAAACTTGGCATCTTAAATGAGTTGTTAGTACCTGACTAACTTACAGGAGTTTCCCTTGAGTATTTCCTAAGCCTTATGTGTTCCATTGGTCCCCAGGAGAAGAGCTCAGTCCTCGACGCTCTGGCTCACAAGGCCAGCCTGACGGAGCAAATCCTAAACTCGGTGCCTGGTATCAAGTGCAACCCAGTCCAAGGAGCCATGTATGCCTTCCCTCAGATCTTCATCCCACCACGTGCAATTCAGGAAGCCCAGGTCTGTTACTGCAGCGTGCATTCTTCAATGTGACATTTTCCCCTGTGACAGTGTGTGTTAGCCAGGGGCCTGTCACACAGTACTCAGCAGAACAACCTGTTAGCAGCAGAGACATAAACACATATCTCTTTCATATTTATAATCTGTTTTAATAGGATATTCTGTTCTATTCATTTAGTTTTTCATTCAGGTAAATGTTTGAAACACACAGAGCGGCCTGTGTGTGGACAGCCTTATATATTAGTCCTGTTCCTGTGTCTCTGCAGTCTGTGTCTATGGCTCCTGACATGCTGTACTGCCTCAAACTGCTGGAGGAAACTGGTATCTGTGTGGTCCCAGGCAGCGGATTCGGCCAGAAGGAGGGAACCTATCACTTCAGGTTACACAAGAAGACCAACCCAGTGTTTATTCAGGAATAGGATGTGCGACGGAGCAATGTCCTGACATACTGTGTGTTTGCTTTTACTGTGTGTTCCTCAGAATGACCATCCTTCCGAGCCCAGAGAAGCTCAAAGTCCTCCTGGAGAAGCTTAAGGAGTTCCACCTCAGATTCCTTGAGGAGTATTCACAACCGGAACCTCAGATCACCAGCCAAGACCAGCACAGAGAAATGTCAAAGCAACCAGACTGATGGCCCACAGGCTTACTCAGAATGATCTATTTGAATAGACAGCTTGTGTAATGTTGATATTGCTTTGAGTTTACTCTTCGTTTTTAAGGATTTGTGTTACAGAAATGTGTGCCTTCCCCCCAGAGGATATTTAAAGAGGCAATGAATCCTCTACCAGACTAGACGTGTGGCCCTCTCCCAAGAGCCCTGAATAAGAGAAAAGACAGTATAGCGACGCAGGAAGTAGTTCTTCATGCTCTCAAGAACCTTGCATTCAGCCATCTGCTCTTTCCCTTCCACACACATCCTTTTCATGCTTAGGCCAAGGATTTCACACATCAGCTTGTTACACACATAGTAGGCGTATGAGGAGTTGTGTGCCTCTGTAAATGTCTCTGTAAAAGTGCAGCCACAATGTTTTTCAAATGTACTTTTTCTGTTTGTTTTGGTTATGCCTTACATAGCATTAAATAATACATATTGTGCCACTGGTATGTAGCCATGGAGAGAGTTTGGTTTCAATTGTTTTTAGATATCAGTCTCTAAGAATTCTGCCTCCACTCTAGTAGTGAATCTGAATGGAATTGTGTTTTATGGTGATTACAGAAACTAAACCTAAACAACAAAATGGGTTATTTTGCCCTCCAAAATGACCAAATCTTTTTTTGTTATATCAAAAAGTGACTATATCAAATGTGGCATGAGTGTGTTCTGATCAGTTGCCTCTGTGGTTACGGTTTGGTTTAGGAAAGTAAAACTATGTAATGTTTGGAAAAGATGTTGGTCATGGTTGACTGTTGGACAGACAGGATATTAAATCAGTCCCTCCAGGAAGTTGGCACAAACGTTGTTAATCACTGCAACTTTTCTGCAATTTTCACCAATCATAACAGTCCCTGGTGCAAAAGGTTGAGCCATACTTCACCAAACTACTAGCAATATTCTCTGAAACAAGTTGCCTTTTTAATGAATTATACAAACAAATATCAACTATTTTTACAATTTGTACTTTCTCCTGCAATTTCATCGCAAAAAAGGCCTAGAGACATTGCAACATGCATCACAATGTTTTACAAAACCATTTTAGGCTGCAGCAATGCTGCAAAATCCTGGAGGGACTGTTCACTGTTACCAGAATCGTATCCTGGCATGTGGCAAAGCCTTTGAAACAGCTTTTAGACTATCATGTATGACGATTTTACCCAAATTTAATTAAACAGTTAAATGAATGAATGAATAAAATAAATAAAAAAATATTACAGGTTTTTTGGTGGTTTTTAAACCATTTCTAATGTGGGTGCTGTTGCACTGTGTGAATTTGGACCTCAGTATTCCTAAAATCCTTCCTGGCTTTGATCGAACCATGCATTTCGTGGTAGTGAATTCACACTCAGTCTGTACAAATATATGACAGGATCTTTAGCACTTGTGTTTATTTTTCACACTCAATTTTATATATGTATTATGTGTGTTCGGTAATTAGTGACAAAAATGGCTGACTTTGTACATACAGAACAGTATTCTCACACACAAACATAAAGTGCATAAAGATGAGGAAATGGCCGGGATCTAGCAGTTAATGTTTTGGGGGAAAGTAGGAGGATTTAGGTGAGACACCTCAGTTATGAAATGAGCTGCAGACTACCTACTGATTCTTTGGCTGTCACCGCAGTGTGAGGGTTGTCTGTCTTTTTCAGTTATACAGTGGTTAATTAATAGCATCATGGAATGCATACAGTTGCTTGCTGCATTGGTTTCTAAAAGACTTGTGATTCTTTTCATAGAAATCTTTAATCATATATGAATCAATTTAGGATACAGATCCTCTACAAGGCCCGAGAGGTTTATGATTTCACTGACAACTGGTTTCCAAGATCTATTCAGGTTAAGCAGCTGTTTGCAGTCTACATCACATACCTTAAGGAAGTTTGACTTCAGTACTTAAACTATATAAATTTTTACAAATTTCTTGTTTTTTAATTTGAATAAATATTGCATTTTGGTTAATGAGACTCAGACTTGTAAGACTCAGGCCTGTAGCTAGCACTGAGAACACTGAGAATTATATACAGATGGGTGACATGGAAGGAAAAACCTGAATGAACGAGTGGAGAAACATGACAGATGCAGATTCTTTCATACGGAACACGAGGGGTCGTTGAATGGTTTGATGAGAATGAGAATGATGTGAATCGGTGGAACCTGTGGGAGAATGGAGAGGGTTCCAGAGACCAGAAGGCTTGTGTTGCTTTTTCCTTAAAACTGTCACTTATCTCTATGTCTTAAAATGTACCTCGTTACATTATGTGACAGACCTGAATCAACTTCAACCCACCCTAGTTAGCTTGGGCTCACTGACCTCAGTATTTCTAAATCCTGGCTACGGCCCTGATGTGACTGGCAGATTGGCTGTGGCTGGATGAAACTGATGAGAGAAGTCCTACTACTGTGCGGATGTATGTAGGTGTGTGTAGGCATTGTATATATGCCAGAGGTACTTTTTGGGGTTATTTGTTTTGTCTATTTGTTCGGTTATGTGTGTATGCCGACGGTTAGTTTTAACCACTCAGCAAAGTTTTCTCTGGACTCAACACAGCACAGGGCTGTCAGAGCTTCAGAGAGACAGTCACATGAAGAACATACTTTATCCCGCCACCTCCTCCACCAGCCGGTTGGTGGCAGTACGCCTGTTCGCCAGTCACCATCCAGACGGAAGAAGAAGACGGAGGCGGAAGTGTAATAGGAAACATGGCGGCGCCTTGTGTGGACACTTTCAGGACACATCGACTACAGTCACAGAAACGTAACTAGTGTCCGCACTGACACTCTGGAGTGCTTTTCTAATAATGTGGATGAAGACAGCCGGAGGCTCTCTGAGGGTCCTCCACCTCCTCCAGAACTGCTGCATACACAGCGGCTGGAGGAGGACTGATGGGGGACAGCGGCGGCTCTGTAGACTCATGTCCTCGTCAGGACCCCCATGGAGGCTCCTGTTCTTTGGCACAGATCATTTCGCTGTGGAATCTCTAAAACTCCTCAATTGCAGCAGGTGACAGAGCTAAGTGATACAAATGGCGTTGCGAGGCATACTGCATCATATCACACTGTATGTCTGTTTAAACATCACACTCCAGTTTGAGCTGGATCACAGAGCCTCAGAGGGGCAGAGTAAGCTCCATACTGAGCACAGACTAGTTATTGGTTGAGGTATGTTTGAAGTTGAAGCTGCATGAATAGCAACCTAAATGTTACACATGTAATTATATAAATAAAATAATAAAGTGCAGAAATGATACTGAAAAAAGTATTGCAATTAATTGTAATTTAAAGTTGCAGTAGGTCACTTTCATTAAAATAACTTTTTGTCATATTTGCTGAAACCTTCACTATATCCTGACAGTAGAACATGAGACAGATAATCTGTGGAACAATCTGGTTCCTCTGGCTCCTCCTAGTGCTCCTAATGGTATTTGCAAGACTCCACCGGGCCTGAACGAAAACAACCAATCAGAGTCAAGAAAGATAGTTGATTAATAGATGATTTAATCTCATTCCCAGATTGTCAAATATCGATGCTTTAGGTCCCAAAGCTTCAAGCCACTCCTAGCATCAATATTTCAACATTTTCTTTAAAAACGTCGTACTCTACTGTGACTTTGAGAGTGCAACCAATCAGATGTGCTGTGTATAGACAGAGAGGTGTCTGCATCAGAGCCAACATAAAACGCTATTAAATCTATTTATTTTATCAGCAATCTGATTTGAAAAAACAACAACAATGAGTATCTGTCAGTTTTTCTAGACCCCCATCCAGACTTTTAATGCTTCCAGATGAGCTTAGGTCTTTTTTGGGGGAGCTAAGCCCACCCCACTGGCTCCCCCGTAACCCGAACACTGACCCAGCATCAGTGTTGGACCTCCCTGATGCTCTTGTGTCTGAATATAAGTAAATCCCTGCAGCCAGGTTCCAGAATCTGGTGGAAAGCCGGAGACCAGAAGAGTGGGGGCTGTTATAGCAGCAGGCTAATGCCCGCGGTGATTTGGTTCACATGGTCAAATATCACATTTGGTTGAATGTTTAGGAGTGCAGATATTTTATGTGGGTGTATGCATTATTTTGCCATATAGTGTATGTTTTTAGTTTCTGTGTCTAAACTACCATTACGTAGTTTGTCTCGGAAGAACTGACCTCTGGGTTCTGTTTGCAGGAGCTCCAGTGGAGGGGTAGTGGAGTCCCTTGAAGTCGTTACTTTGTCTGGTGACGTCCCGGTAAAGAGGTTTGCTCAACAGAACCGCCTTCCACTCCACAGCTGGCCCCCTGACAAGGTGGACGGACAGTTTGATGTTGGCGTGGTGGTGTCCTTTGGCTGTTTACTCCCTGAGAAGCTGATCAATAAGTTTCCACAGTGAGCACCTTTTGTCTGTCTGTAACTGTGGACTGACCCCGGTCTGCGGATCCACAACAAGTTATGTTGTTTCTTAAATGTGATGAAGACACCATCCTCAGTACGCACTGAACCTAAACCGAGGGGCTGTCTGATAGAATGTCCAAGCTTTAAAGGCAAACTTTGTAGGACTCATACAAACATAATCCCTCTCAGTCATTATGACCCACTAGAAGTGTGTGCTGGGGTCTGACTAGTTAAAGCTCCTACAACAAACTTTTATTTTGTGTTGAGTCTGGCGCCCCTTGTGGACAAAAACAATAGTCTTTCTACCACTTAGTTTTCTTTGATTTCAAGTTGGATTTAACTCAGTGACAGGCATTAAGAATAACTAAATAGAAACAGTTTCAGTTAAAGGAGACATTTGATGCAAATTTTCAGGTTCATAATTTTATTTGGTTTGTCTACTAGAATAGGTTTACAGGTTTTGGCACTGCTCTGATTGGTCAGCCCCCACGAGCTGGAGCAGTTACTGCCCTTCGGCTTCCACATAAACGTTGCCTGTGTTTTGGCCATGAATATCATATCAATAACTGCTTCTAAACCAAAAACTCGCCACTGCACCCACCCCAAAATTGCAGAGAAACTCCTTGTAGTACATTTAAAGCTGTAGTTGGTAACTTTTATAAAAATAACTTTCATTTGCTGAAACTTTCACTATATCCTGACAGTAGAACATGAGACAGATAATCTGTGCAACAATTTCACCCTAACCCTCAGAAGGCTGCTTTCATGAACAAATAACTTTAAATATTATTTAACATGTTAAATAATTGAACATAATCAGTGTCAAGCAATTCTAGTTGACATTGCTGAGAGCTGCTTCTTCTCTCTTACTCTGTGCTGTTTGCCGTAGTATTGTAAATCAGTGTATTTAATGGATATATGATAACTTATACACCAATACTTACATGTCTGCTACTGAATGTTATGATAATATTAGCTGACTGATTCCCACAGCAGCAGGATGGTGTTAGCCTGGAGCCCTGACCACTACATATACTTAAACATTAAGTCTGATCTACACAGACAGAATGAAATTATAAATGGTATATAATCTGTATGTGTGTCTGTGCAGCGGGATTTTGAACGTTCACCCCAGCTTGCTGCCGAGGTGGCGAGGTTCTGCACCCATCGTCCACACCATCCTGCATGGTGACGCTGTGACAGGGGTCACCATCATCCAGATCCGCCCTCACAGGTATACAAAGGGGAAAACTTCAGTGTTCTTCCTGTTTTTTTTATTTTTTTTTTGCCTTACTACAAACATTAAAAATGTCACATCACCAGGTTTGATGTGGGCCCCATTGTCAACCAGGAGCTCCACCCGGTCCCCGAGAAATGTACTGTTGAAGAGCTCGGAGCTGCCCTAGCCTCTAAGGGAGCACATCTGGTGAGTTGCTGGGACACGGCTGGCAGAAGAGGGTTACCTTATCGTCCCACTAACATGGTAACACAGTTGCTGTATCTGTATTCTGGATTGCAGCTGATTGATACATTGATGACGCTGTCTGAGAGAATGGCACATAAAAGGGAGCAAGGACAGACGGGTGTTACATTTGGTATGTAGGTCTGAACTACAAAGGAAATATAAAATATAAAACAAGAAATTCTTTCAACTTACACATTAATTTCCTTCAACAGCCCCGAAAATCAACACTTCCATGAGCTTTGTGGTGTGGGAGGAACAGACATGTGACCAAATCGATCGCCTGTATCGTTCTATCGGATTCCGGGTAAGGATGACCAGTCGGGACGGTTGTTCTGTTTGAGCACTGGAAGACTCTGTTGAATATCACTGTAATGATCCGTATCTCTGCCATCAGATGCCTTTGAGGACCATATGGATGGACAAAACAGTACAACTTCTGGATTTTGTAGGAAAATGTCACATTTCATTAGCAGGTAAGTTTGATAAAATCAGATTTTTTCTAGCAGAGTGTCTATTTGCACCCAAAATCAGGACCAGGCTTCTAATTGAGACCTGCCATTATTTGTTAAATGTGTAGCCACACCAATCTAGAAAAGGACACCTGCGTCTATTTGGGACCCTGCTTTTACGTTTTTTACAGTACATTAACAATACATGCAGGCTTTTTTATATTTATCAAGTTAACAGTGTCTAGTTTGTATGTTTGTGAATGTAAACATCATTCTGGTTTCAGAAAGTGAAATAAGCCTCAATCCTGTTTCTAAAATCTAGCCAGGGTTACTCTGATAGGAACAGCAGATCCAGGTTTCTGATCACAGTCTTCTGTGTGTGCAGGTGTGTCCCTAAATCAGACCACATAGGCAGAAATATGAATATAACAGTGCAATAGTGGAAACACGTATAAGGATACATTATGGGTTTAATCCTTCATTAAATGGCTGACCGGATGGAGAAGCTAAATGCAGCGAAGTCCAGACAGCTAGAACGCAGAGTGAGTGAGGAATCGTGGTGATGTTCAGGAGTCCAATAAATTCTCCACACAGACAGACAAACATTGATAATGTTGGAAATATTTATACAGGGATAAGAATAACCATATCACTGGCATGTTGTTTTCAGATCACAGGACGCAACCAGTCCCTGGCTCAGTGAGCTATCAGAAGGAGTCCAGTACTCTGGCTGTCTGCTGTAAGGTCTGTCCAACTCTTTTAAACTCTAAAATAGTGACTATGTATGCACACAGTATACACACAGTTTTACAGTTTACTTTTTGTCACTGCAAATGAAATATTTTATGAAATCTTGTTCAATAATCAAGTGAAGTTGAAAAAAAAGGCACATACCTGTAACATTTGTATATTTTCAATTGTCTGCCTGCTTTCTCTAGTTGACTCCTTAATTTCACTTTATTATTTATACCCAATAATTAATTATATTACACTATACTTAAAAATTGTTTCTTAGGTGTAAGTCTGGTTCAAGTCTGGACAGGGAGCTTTGCTACATGTTCTGTCATAATTCCCTATCATATCTCTACTGATGGCTATAATAAAGCACGCAATATAATACATATAATCATTTTTAAAAGTCGTCATGATGAGCAATGCTGTGATACAACACAGTGTTCTATCAGTACAACAACAGTTATGTTGCACTCTGCTATCACTTTCTCTTTTTATAACAAATACCATCCTCATTCATTAACCGTTCCAAATCACTTTAACTTTGTAGTTTTTTCTATCGCTCTTAACCGGCAGTGTGTGAAAACCAACTCTTCCTGTAAATGTTTCACCCTCAGCTTCAAGGACAGGGAGGTATTTTGCCATTTGAGTCATTAGACGCCTTTTATTTGCATTAATAGGAGTTTTTTTACCAAACAATAAAAATAAATTCAAGCAGAACCTTAGCTTGAACTGTTGCTTTTGATCTTTTTTTTTTAGTTAAAAGAATGTTTTTATTACAAGAGTAGTGAGTATGACATGACTGGTGCACTGATTTTGGAATTAGTGCTGTGGAAATGTACATCATTAGCAATAGAGCTGTGTATTGGCAAGAGTCTGCGGATGCGATACGTATCACAATACAGGGGTTACAATTCAGTGTATATATACTACTCTATATATATATATATAATATAAAATTTTTTTTTATTTATTTTTTTCCTCACAAACCACTTTGTATTGGATCTGCGTTCGCCTGCTTCCAGGATGGCTTGGGTGGGTTTAAGCAGTGCTCCTGAAAAAGGAAGGATGCAGGCACTGGCTGTTATAAACGGCTACCTGCATCCACAAGGTGAAGGTCGTTTGTCGCTGAAAAATCAGAACTGAAACACACTCAGATGGAGAGATAAACTCAAATGTCGTGACGCAGCAAAACAGTTTTCCTTCCTTGGATGTGAGCATGCAGAGCATGAATTACCTAATGGAATTTACCTGCCTAGGGTTAATTTACTTGGCTGCTTGTCTGTTTTAGGACATCGTGATGTATAGTACATTTCCTGTATACTGTATACTCTTAATAAATGAATGTGCTGGTGACTGATGGATACCAGGAACAATCAGAAAACAGTTCATTTCTATTTATTAATTTCTTTAAATATTATTATAAAATTATACTTTTTTCTATGACTTATGAATTTTAATTATTATCTGAGATCGTATCAACCAGTTGTCTTGAATGTAATACGATTACTAAAGAAGCATCTAAATTAAAAAGTGCCTGTTATAAGAGTGTTGACCCATGGTAACATACCGTAGTTTCAGTGATAAAGTTATACACATCACTGCAGGGCTATACAATTTACACTTTATTTACCCATTGAGCAGACAGTGTTCTGCTGTGGCTGGACATTAGTCAGCTGCTATGATGACTAATCCAGGAAGGACAAAAAAAAAAAAAGGGACTGCCCATTGTTCCAACATAAGTACATTAGTTACATCTGTAGTTAGGTAAGTTATACCAGGCTGATGTATATATAAAAATATAAATAAATATACATATATATTTATATATAGACGGTTGACAAATTAGAGGAGAGAAACAACATCAAGTGTCTTAGTAAGGTGTTGGGCCACCACATGTCCCTAGAACAACTTCAGTGTGCTTATGACATTGATTCTACAAGTCTCTGGAACGCTTCTGGGAAAAAGATATTCCCTCATTGGGTGTTTTGATAATAGTGGTGGAAAGAGTCGCATAACATGTCAGTCCAGAATCTCCCATAGGTGTTCATAGCTTGAGATCTGGTGACTGTGAAGGCCGTAGCATGTGATTCATATCATACTAATCAAAATACTCATCTTTACATATGCGCTTCTGCCCCCACACACAACTCCAACACATCTCTACTGGATCAGCCATACCAGAACACTGTCTGCTCAACCGGTACATCAACTGTAAATGGTACTTTGTGTAAAGTGCAGTGATGTGTATAACTGGTATGGTTCAGTGACCCTCGTACTTCATGGACGGGAGCATTGCCATCCTGGAAGAGACTAATCCCATCAGCATAGAAATGTTTCATCATAGGATAAAGGTGATCACTCAGAACTACTTTGTATTGATTTGCACTGCCCCACCCCTCCAAGGAGACAAGTGGACCCATACCATGCCGGCAAAATGCCCTCACTGTAGGGGTCAAGCATTCAGGTCTGAAGCATTCAGGTCTGTACCGTTCTGGTGTACGCCACACATGCACTCGTCCACTTGTGGATAATATGGTGAAGGGTGATTCATCTGACCACATCACTTTTTTTTTCCATGATTCTGTAGACCATTGCATTGGTTTTTGCACGACTGAACACAAATGTGCATTCAGCCTTTGTAATGAGGGGTTTATGCACTGCAACCCGATATCTACTACTGTATTATCACTGACAACATCAAACTGGTCCTGCTCAGCATTTCATACACCCATTTATTGAGCGTATGTGTATGTAAAGGTGTGTCTGTGTGTATATTACATCACGAGTGTTAGGGAAATAAAGGATACATTTGCAATCTTTGGTGGTAGGATGTCATACTACTTTATTTATTATTTACTACAGTTTAGTATAGTTTATCATATATCTTATCGGTCTATATTGTTTTATGGACTGCATATATGTATAAATATAAATATATAGGCTATAATTTTTGTTCTCTCAAGTTCAAAGATGTATTTTTGTTTTATTTGTGTTTACTTTGCAGTTGGGTTTACTGTTAAATTTGAAGTTAGTGTTGTGTTTGTGACAGTTTTATTTTTGTCAAATATCCCCACTAAGTACTTATCTTTATTACCTTTATTCTTTATTAACCAAATTTAAAGGATCCTTGTTAAATATTTTTAAGTTTAGTTTTTCAGTTAGAAAACATTGTCATTACAATATCAATCTAATAGGTCTAAAAAGTTCAGTGGACTATTGGACAATCTTTAATAGGGATGATATGAAGTTATGTTGTTGCTCTGAAGGAATTAGATTTTGTATTACATTTATTCAGCTGGTGCATATTGTCTACTTATTTATACTCGTTGAACTGGATTCATGCATGATAATAAATAAAAGACAGACCACATAAAGAGCTTGTGTGAAATTAGTCCATGATAGGGTTCCTCTCTGTGGACCGTACCATGTTCTACTCCAAAACAGGGAACTGTCACGTGAACTTCCACTACCGTCTCTAACAGCACTGAATGCCAGAAGTCGCCCAGAAAGAAAAGTTTGTCCACTGAACGATAAAATGCCAGCTCCAACTATTTGAATCAACCTCAAAGCACATATGGCGTATAACGTAGGCTCTTCCCGGTGCCCCCCACCCCCCACCCCCTTGCAGCTGTCGAGTGGTAACGGTGCAGGCGAGACTGCCATTTTACACAGGGCTGCTAGCTAAATCTCCAAAGTGACAGACAACAACTAATTCACCTATGTAGTCGTCGGCTTGTTTACAAAAGTACAGCATAAATTAACGTTGTGTTGTGAGCAAACATCCTAAACGACATTTTGTCTTAAGCACAAGTCTAATTAACAGTGGCGTAGAAAACACGGGTAAGTTGGTCATTTTAAGTTGTCACAATGTACTGTAGCTAGCTAACGTTACCATAACATACCCACGGTGCTGTCGCTCTGCAAGTTACCTGTCGACCGGCTCATTTAACTAACGCTAACGGTAACGGTAACCGGTGGTTGTCAAGGCTTCAGACAGAGTGTACTTTTATGGGCTGGACGGCAGTTTGGCAATGTGACTAATGTGTTGACATTATTCTGGTGGTGAAATGACGTCATGATAGAGTTGGTGTGCATGGGTAAGCTGTGATGTTCTGTGTCATTTGCACGTAACTAGTAACGGCGCGGTGTTTTTGAGAGGTTTGGAGTTAGTTAACGCTATACATATCCAAAAGATGGTACGCACGTGATGTCACCGAACGCGGAAGTCGCCAGTGTTAACTCCTCCCACTGTCAGGATGTGTCAGGTTGTGGACTGAAAAGAAGAAACCGTGCTCAACCGTGCAAAAGACTTCTGACAAGGTATTAGCACTGAACTGGAGAGAAGTACAGCAGAGTGGCACTTAAAGGTCCAGTGTGCAACATTCAGTAGGATCTGTTGTCAGAAACGGAATCTAATATTCATGGTTGTCATTAGAGTATAATCACAGAAAGGGATCTCTTTATTTTTCTGCCATGCAGCCCCCCCCCCCTCTGACCAGGCTACAGCTGCTTACTCTGCAGAGTGTCAGCCCGTCACACCTCTGTTCATTCTCCTCTGCTCTCTGTGCTCAACTATGCAGTTTTTAATACAGCTGAATTCATAGTATAGTTGTATAAATGAGAGTATGAAATGGGGTTTTCATTTTCACGGCCCATACATGGCTGATATTTCCAGGCGGCTGTGCTGTGGGGATCAATTATTATTTTATACTTGAAGTGTTGTCTGTCAAACTCAAAAGGTTAATGACAACAACTCTGCTGCGTGTTTGGCCATATTGAGATTTACAGTGAATGGTCAACTTTATCAACTTTACTGACACAAAGCCCCGGACCCTCACTGGGCTGGCTTTTGGAAGAGCTCCGTTTGAGTCTGGACGAAAGGTTTAACTTTAAAGTTAAGATCAGTTTTTAGTCACAGAAACAGCACAGTTATATGAACTGAAGTGAACCATAACTCTTATCTAGTTGGAAAGCGTTCATACAAAGTGTAAGTAGAAAACGTGTATTAAAAATAAAAGAGGAATTAGTCAGTGACATTGTAGACTGTGCTCAGACCAGCAAGGTCACTGTGTCAGAATATGTGCCCTCTCTGATCATTTTAATGGGACCGCAGCATCCCAACAGTGGAGCTGCTGCTGGGTCAGCTTCTGCCACTGTGCAGTCCAACATCATCTGATAATGCTCTGCTGTTGGCCTATCAAGGAATTCAACCTCAAATGCTTTGTAGCATTGTGCTAAATCTACTGTTTGACTCCCACACGCTGGGACAGAGAAAGAAATTCTTGCTCCGGCTTTAAAAATGTACTTCCAACTGTTGCAACATGAACATCTACACCATGATATACACTCAACTTCTCCAGTATTGAGCTTTTTTATGTGTACGTATTAGGGATGTAACGGTTCCGTGTGTACCTCAGTTGTGAAGTTATGGTTCAGTACGGAAAAATCATAAAGAAAAAATGTAAAGAGTAAAATTTTGTCCTTTTTTTAAAAAAAAAATCTAAACATTGAACAGTGGCTCATTGGCCATAATTCCTACTGTAACAATGAAGGCACTGAAATACTGGCATATTAGAAATAAGAAAAAAATACAGCTGACAGACAACAACAACTGGTGCACTTCCAAAACTTTCGGTTGCTAGTACGTGTACATAATAGACTAGATTGCTTTTACTCCATATGAGATTTAGTGTAGATTTGTTTAGTTACTGTAATGTTTAGTCTTTCTAAGTCGCATCCATAAATTAGGACAACTAAGAGTTCCTACAAAGGTCCAGTGGCTGTGAGACACTGGACCTTTCTTTCGAAACACCCACAGACTGAATGGCCAGTTGTGCAGTTAATGTTTCTGACTCCAGGGCTAATAAGGGACCACTGCGTGGTCTTGAGGGTCGTGTACCCATTCCACAGCAGTTTGTGGTCATGCGATCTCTAGTAGCCATGTCCTGTGTGGGTGGGGGTGTGGGGCAGGTGTGTGTATCTTGTTACTCAGTCAGCTGCAGTTTCACTTTGAATTAGTGTTGGTAGTGATTTTATCTTGAGAGAAAAAGAAACAGTGTCTCACAGTTTTCTTGGGCATATTCTTTCCACAACAATCACAATATCGGAATATTAATAATGAGAATATTGGTTTTTAGAAAGGCTTGCTTCCACATTTGAATGTTTTTTTGTTTCAAGGTTTGAAATAATGTTGTGTCTGCATGAAACAAATATAGCCTGCATCACTGCTGCTTGGCACAAACCAAATACTAAAGTTCAAATGCATTTTCAACCAACAGAAGAACTTAAAGGTCCAGTGTGTAACATTTAGGATCTGTTGTCAGAAATGGAATATTATATTCATAGGTATGTTTTCATTAGTGTATAATCACCTGAACATAAGAA